CTATAAAAGTTTTAACATGGACTGTGCTTGCCAGGAACTCCTTGTAATATGTGCATATTATTTTTCTGCTTCTAGGAGTGTGTGAGAGAAAAATAAAGCTGGCTTCTTCTCAGGTCCACATTGTTGAAATGGTATGCAACTGTGCCATAGCTGCTCTTATCCAGATTGACCCTTTTGGATTAGGTCACACCACAACGCTTGAATACTAGAACTGTTGAGATATTTTTTTACTTTCCTAAATCCAGTTTCTTGATTTGACCTGCATAGCCAAGATGTGTAGGATTTTAACAGTTCATTCAGTGATTTTGTCACTATAGAAAGGTCTTGTAGATATTGACCAAAGTAAGTTATCATCCTCAGTAACTTCTTAGTTCAGGTATATTTATTGGTGCATTCAATTGTCTAATAGCTTTTACTTTCTCAGAGGTAGACCTGATTCTATCTTGGTTCATGGTCTGTCCCAAAAACTCAATTTGAGGTATTTGGGAAATGATTTTTCCCCTTTTCTTAGCTTTAGGCCTGACTTACTGATTAGGCTTTGAACTTTACTGAAATTTTTATTGTTCTTTCATCAAACCATATATCAGAATGTCACCCATGAAAACTACAGTTTCATTTGTGTTTCGTAACCGTTCTGCCATCTCTTTTTAGAAATTTCAGCTGCAATGGTAGTTCCAAAAACTAATCTTCAAAAGCAAAATCTCCCAAAGATTATGGTGAATGCAGTCAGTTTAGAACTTTTTCACTGAAGGAAGATGCCAAATTCTTTTGAGGAGTCCATTTTGGAAAGTTCCGTATCTTTTTTTACTTGGAGAAGAAAGTCATCCATTGTAAGAAGATCTGTTTTTAGTCTCACAGATGTTTTACCAAGGAATCCTAAAAGGTGTATGTACATTATATTATTCAATGCTATCTTTTAAGGTTATTTGTACTGGATTTCCTTTCAAGAATCCATTGTCTCCAAATACATTGAATTCTTCCATCTTTCTCATTAGGCTCATTATGGCTGCCCTGGTGTGGCTGAGAAGATTGTTGGACTTTGTTCCTTTGGTCACAGTCATTATGAATGCAAAGGTTTTGTCTTTATAAATTGTTTGAATGGTGAACTGGCACATTAAATTGAGAGATTCTACAAATCTAGTCAAGGAGGTGTCAATTTCAGCTCTGGGAGAGGTTTTTAGGTGATTCTAGGCCCCTTTTGAGACAATGATCACATCTGCCTCTTTTTCATTTTAAAATCAATAGTCTTCCTATGAATATTCAGTTTCACTCTCCAGGCAATGCTATGTCATCACTTATGATAGATCACAGAAACAGCGGCTCTGTAATATTAATCAACTCCCTGATGGCCTAGGATGGCAAACATCAGCAAAATGTCCACATTTTGTGCATTTATTACATGATTTGACACACAGGATCACAGGACTGGAGGAGGCTTCAGGAGGACATCAAGTCCAACCCTCTGCTAAAAGCAGGACCAATCCCAACTATATCATCCCAGCCAAAGTATTGTCAAGCCAGGACTTAAAAACCTCTAGGGATGGAGATTCCACTGCTTCCCTAGGTAACCAATTCCAATGCTTCACCAGAACCCTAGTGAAATAGTTTTTCCTAATATCCAACCTAGATCCACTCCACACGCACTGCAATTTAAAACAATTACTCCTCATCTGTCACCACTGAGAACAGCCTCTCTCCATCACATATCTTCAGCTATGGATTTTTCCAAATCCTGTGCATTTAGTCTGAAATTCTTGGAAGGTTGGGATTCCCTTGTATCCTCAGAGCTTTTGTAGTAATGACTTTTAACACTCGTGGTGTATCTTTACAGCTTCTAACCTAGTTTCTGTTTTTTTAAGTTGCTCCTGCCTCTTGTCCTACTGTTTGACTAGTTTAAACTGCTTTGCTAATTGGGTAGCAGTTTGTAGATTTAAATCTGTCTTTAATTGTAGTTCCTGTAAAATGTTGTTATCACTAAGATGAGTGATTAGCCTGCCTCTGATGTTTTTAAGTTTTGCAGTCCCAAAATCAGAGTTTTCAACCAATGGCTATGTCTAGACTACATCCCTTTTTCGGAAAAGGGATGTAAATTAGACGTATCACAATTGCTAATGAAGCGGGAATTTAAAACTCCCGTGCTTCATTAGCATAAAAATGGCTGCCGCTTTTTTTCGTCATGGAGCTTTGTCGAAGAAAAGCGCCAGTCTAGACGCTGATCTTTCGAAAAATAAAGCCTTTTCCAAAAGATCCCTTATCCCTCTTGAAATAATTTACATCCCTTTTCCAAAAAAGGGATGTAGTCTAGACATAGCCAATGTGTGCAGAAGTCTTATAAAAGAATCAATATTTTCTCCTAGTTCTTGGATTCTCTGGTGAAAACATGCTCTTTCATCAAACACATTTTTCTGAGGTATCAAGTATGAAATCAAACACACATTGAATCTTTTCATAGTGATATTTGTAATAGTCTTCGAGAAAGGCAAAATTTAAAGATATTCTTTGCCTGCTTCCTCATAGAATAAATTAAAGTAGATGCCTGAATATCCCCAGTTTACTGATAGAGTTTTGTAGTAGGTCGAAATTTTACAAAATGCTGCTTCTAGTTTGTCCTTCCAAAATTTTTCAAAACTGAAGCTCTCAGAAGCATTGCAGAGAGGAGAAAGAATTTGAAGGAGTGCCCAACACTCATGGGGAACATCAGAGAAGAGCTCCTGACTGTTTACCATAATGCAGCAGCTAAGGAAGTCTGTGGACCTGTTGCTGCAGAGACTGTTCTGGGCTGCCAGTATTCACTTCCTTGCATGTCTTGTTCACCCATTGCAGAACAGAAGCTGCCATACAGAAGATCAGGCCTCTGAAAAGGTGAGTCCAAGTCACCATCTCTCCTTCCAGAGCGAGGAGTTGTGTCCATGGATTTCTGCCATGTCCAAAATTTAGGTGAAAATTAGTAAAAGCTACAAAACATGTAAACCAAGGAATTTGTAGGGTGGGAGAATTGGTAAAAACTAAAAGTAAAGGCTAATGTAGTCTTAAAGGATATTTTAATGTATTTGTTGTTTTAAAAAAGTCTGAGTGTAACTTTACGTCATGCAGAAGAGAGAACATGTTACAAAATATTTTTTAAACACAGGATTCAAGGGCAGTTAAGTATCAAATTCAAGTCTCTGTCATTTAATTATTCCTACTTGGCACTATCAGCATTTAATTATAATAATATCCTTTTTTCTTTCATCTGCAGTTCCACCTAGATAATTTAATTCATATTATTCATACTTCAAACACAGAGGTAGTGAGTACCTGCAACTTCCATTGACTTTAGCGTGACAACAGTTATTGTATTTTACCCACAATTTTTTGTAATTTTGTTTTTAACAATAATAATTGTAATAAAATAAAAGAGCTCTGATTTGTTAGAAGACATCAGTACATGCCAAAACACTATCACTCTCAAAAAGCAGAGACATCAGTATAAAGACCAAAGAGGGTGCAGACATCATAAAGGTAATTAATTTGCATATTCGCTCATTCACACAAAACATTTTCTTTTGTGAGCAAATTGAAGGTTGTGACAGGAGTTTTCAAAGGGAATGTTTCAATAGTCATTACATCAAAATATCTCTGTTAAAGGAATAAACAATAGCTTAATTTACTTTGTGGAAAGAAGGTTGCTTATCATACCATAAAGAAGTCTATAGTCAATCAAAAGCCAAGGAAAGGGAGCATACATATTGCCAATCCCCAACTATTCAAAAATCGTGAGATTGGTTTAACAATCTTGAGATGCTCTGAATTAATAATTTTGTGAGGGATTTTATATGGTTTATGGGGTTTTGAAGCTTTAGGTAGATGCCACCTGCCTCAAAAGTGTGTAAGAGCTTTTAAGGGTCAAAATCTCCATCCCTAGAGATTTTTAAGTCATGGCTTTTCAAAGCCCTGGCTGCGATGATTTAGTTGGTCTCTCTTTGGGCAGGGGATTGGATTTGATGACCTCCTCAGGTCTCTTCCAACCCTATGATTCTATGATTAAATTCACCCTCAGATGTAGAAATGTGTCTTTTCTCTGATTAATTGAACGGGGTTCTTCTTGCCTTCTTCTTCCCTTAAGGCCGCATTCCTCAAACTGTGAGTCCCAACCCCCTGGGGGGCCGCGAGCAACTTAGAGGGGGGCACAGTATCACAAAGTTTGAGAACCCCTGCCTTAAGGTGAGGGAGTTGCTATTGAATCTCTCTCTTACCCTCAGTACTATACCTCCACTTTCTTCAACCTCCCTCAATCCTTCAGTAGAGTAGTAGATGAAGTTTGTTTTGCCCCCACCCCACCTGCTACTCTCACATTCTGCATATGCACCTTTTACTTGTTCTCTGATACTCCTCAGAGTCAGTTTTTTAACATTGTTTTTTCTAGAGCCCCGTCTAGAGTGGCAGCCATTTTGCCTGTTGAAGGTGCCAGCCACATTTATTACAGGCAGCCTCACTTCCAAAAGTACATAGACTGTTAGGAAATTACTTTCATACTATTTTTGACCCCCTTGAGAGTAATGGGAAATGACAGCCATTCTGAGTAAGGGAAAATTCACAAGTTAACATGATGAGAGGCTACCCTCACGAGACATGTAAAAAAATGGCCCCAAACTGGCAGAGTCATGATAAAATTGAGAACTGGCAATAATGCATACTTCTCCGTGCATCAGAAGGAAAAACACATGCATTAAGAGATAGTGCTGAACCCAAACGGTGTATAATATTTGCTGTTTTTTTCAGGCACTAGATGTCTCCACATGATTTCAAGCGTTCTAAAAAGACTGTGTTCCCTACTACATGAAAAAAGCAAAGCTAAAATTCAAAATGTTTGGAATCTTATTTGATTGTCTGTAGTTGTAATTATTTGTCTGTTGTAGATGCCCTGTGATTCTGAATATCATGACATTCTGGATCTGAGCTTTGCAAATTGAGAACTATCCCTGGAAACTACCTGAAAAATGTAGAAATGACTGTTTTACCTCCCTTGGAGCATCAGCCTGGATAAACTCTGAATAAATCTTTTGGGCCTTTGAGACAATTTTGGCAGAAGACTTAGTTTTCTTGAAATCCTCACAGGCCATCCAGAAGTCAATGTTCTCCTCACTGAACTCGGATTTTAGGAATGTTCTAAAGGCATCCAAGCCATCTTCAGAAATAGAAAAATAAATTAGAAGACATATATAATTGATGTAGCATTCCAAGGAATAAAGAAGTTAGGATCCAGAAATTGAATCCTGCTGCCCTTATTCAGTCTACAAGCTGCTGGGATAAAATCAGCCTTTTGTTAGACTCATATAAAACCTTATTCATTTCAGTGAGCATAACAGTGGACTGATTTCAGAACTTTGAATTTAAAAGGAGTCTTGTTTGAGAAATGAGCACAGGATTTATTTATATCACCATAATCAAATGTCTCCCATTGAAGAAATGTAGTTGATGTTTCTGGTTTTTTATTTCTCCTTTCAAATATTTGACTCCCTCATGGAACTGATGGGCAGTATCCCCCAGGATGCTAATCTGAGGGGGAAAGGAATCCAGGAGAGCTGGCTGTATTTTAAAGAAGCTTTATTGAAAGTGCATGAACAAACCTTCCTGATTTACAGTAAAAAAATATGGTAGGCCATCAATTTGGCTTAACAGTCAATTCTTTGGCAAGTTTAAACACAAAAAGAAAGTTTACAACCCTTGCTGCAGCTCTGCAGAAAAAGTATTTAAGGAGCTGCAATGGAGGGAGTAGGGAATTATCCTTTTTTTTTCAAACAATCTACAAGCAATTTTAATGTCTTAATAGTCTAAATGGTTTAGGGTGTAGAATTAACTTGGAAATAGCCCTGTTAGAAGAAAAGTGTTCTTGCTTGTTCCAAAGATAATTGGTTTGAGTTACCAGACCATATCAACACACTGAGCATTCACAGATTTCTTTTCACTAAGCTTGTAAATAGAAGAAAAAAATTAATTGGTCTATTTAGGCCACCTAAATTATCTTGGAAAGCTCCAGCTCTGTTACATTATGTGATTAACTTTGAGCATGTGAGTGAGCTAGCTGAAGTGTATAAACTGAAGCGCATATGTGTCCGCAAGATCAGAACCTAAGTTAACTGTGTGATATAATGGCTTTGTTCCTTCAATGGCACCTAAGGAAGACTGTGCTGCTGGTTAAAAAAAGAAAATAAATAATATATGGCTACTTACTGCACAGTAAGCATTGTATTAGAAAAATTAGGGTGGTCAAACAATTAACATTTAATTGTGATTAATTGTTCAATTAAAATTGTAATTAATCATGCTATTAATTGTACTGTTAAACAATAAACTACCATTTATTTAATTATTTTTTGCTGTTTTCTACGTTTTCAAATATTTTGCCAAATACGCTGCAAAATTCTTCTTCAAACAAGCAACATATTTTGAGTCATAATCTGAGACTTCTAAAACATGAAATATATGGCAGGATGCAGGGAAAACAGAGCCAGAGACATACAGTTCCCCCATAAGAAATTAATTCACATGTTTAATTAATGAATTATTTTGTAACAAGTGTCATCAGCAAGTCCCATTTGAATACCCATGTGAATACCTCTATTCTAACTTTCTGGTGAAATTGTAAATAAGAAGTGGGCAGCATTATCACCCTTAAAAGTAAACAAACTTATCTGTCTGAAGGTATGTTTACACAGCAGGGCTAAAGTCGAATTAAACTAAGCAACTTCAGCAACATCAATTGCATGGCTTAAGTCAGAATAGCTTAGTTTGGCTTTTGGCACTGTCTACACAGCCAGAAGTCAAGGGAAGAAAACTCTTCTGACCCGTAGTGAGAGAGACAAACGTGGTAGGAGACCGGATTGGCTTTCAGGGGAAATCTCTGGTGAACTTAAGCACAAAAAGGAAGCTTACAAAAAGTGGAAACTTAGACAAATGACCAGGAAGGGGTTTAAATGTATAGCTTGAGAATGCCTGGGGGTTATCAGGAAGGTGAAAGCGCAAATGTAATTGCGACTGGTTAAGGATGTGAAGGATAACAAGAAAGGTTTCTACAGGCATGTTAACAAGAAGAAGGTGATCAGAGAGGGTGTGTGGCCCCTAATGGATGAAGGAGGTAATCTAGTGACAGATGATGTGGGGAAAACTGAAGTACTCAATGCTCTCTTTGCCTCTGCATTCATGGACAAGGTGGACTCCCGGACTAATGCGCTAAGTGACACAAGATAGGATGAAGATAGACAGCCCTTGGTGGGTAAAGAACAGGTTAGGAAACTATTTAGAAAAGCTAAACATTCACAAATCCATGGGTCTGGACTTAATGCATCCAAGGGTACTGAGGGAGTTGGCAAATGTCATTGAGGAACCTTTGGCCATTATCTTTGAAAAGTCATGGAGATTGGGAGGAGGGAGTTGGAAGGGGGAATCAAGGGAAAGTAGGGGGAGTGGAAGCTCAGGGTTGGGAGGGGGGGTCTCACCAGACCAACCTGACTTTCATGCAAACCTGCACCTGGGTTTGCATGTGGCCTTTGGTGGCCAGGCTGGCAGCTATCCTACCATAGACGGCCGTGTTCCTCCATCTAGGGCTGAGATCATGGAAGTTGGGGGCATTCTCCCCAAACCTGAATAAGGTCCATGATCTCCACCCTGGACCAGGAAGGCACCCACCTTCTCCAGCCCCTGTCAGGCTCCTGGGAGCTGGCAGATTGCTCCTGGGGAGTGGTGTAGCCACTGCTGGCTCTGGGCTGGCAGGCTTGGAGCTGGCACAGGCACTGTGGCCAGGGTCGACCCCTTTAATGTCTCCAGGGCTGGGGGAGAGGAGAGTAAGTTTTCCTGGTTGTGCCCAGAGTGGCCACCAGGGCTCCCTGGGAAGGGCTGGAGGCCCCCTACTTCGAATTAAGTGTCCACACAGCACTTAATTTGAAATAGCTATTTTGAACTTGGTGTTACTTCTCGTAGAATGAGTGTTACCAAATTCGAAATAAGGGCTCCACTATTTCGAATTTATTTTAAAATAGCAGTTTGCCTGTGTAGATGCTATTAAAGTTAATTCACAATAATGGCTGTTATTTCAAATTAACTTTGTAGTGTAGACATGCCCTAATTTATTTCACAATAACTGTGTAGATATAGTCTTAGTGATTGGCTAAATAAGAAGTATGACTGAGTAGCACTGTCGTCTCTAAAGTTGTACGTTGTTTTGTTTTTGAGTGCAGTTATGTAACAAAATTCCTACATTTGTAAGTTGTGCTTTCATGATAAAGAGATTACAGTACTTATATGGAACTAAGGTAAATTGAAAGAAACTATTTCTCTTCTTTATCATTTTTACAGTACAAGATAAAAAAGAAACTATATTGTAATTAAAATCAATCTCTCTCTCTCTCTATATATATATAAAAACTTTCCTGACGGTGACAGAATGACGTTATCACACTTCCATGATCTCTGGCCATGAAAGCTATGAGAGAGGAGGATTGGTGAGCATAGCGAGCAATAGGCACATACCCCCTAGTATCTAAAATATTGGAAAACATCCAAAATATTTAAGACATTTCAAGTGGTATTCTATTGTTTGACAGTTCAATTAAAACTTCATTTAATCACAATTTTTAATTACAATTATTTTTTGAGTCAATCCCATTAAATTGAGTAAACAACATCCCTCCAAAAATACCTGAGAAAAAAATGGAATATATCACAGTAAGGCTGTGTCTACACTGGCCACATAACCTGTAATAGCTATGGAAATGAGAGAAGTCAGAATAGGGAAATGCGCGGGGGATTTAAATATCCCCCGCGGGATTTAAATAAACATGGCCGCCGCTTTTTTCCGGCTTGGGGAAAAGCCGGAAAAGAGCGTCCAGACTGGAGCGATCCTCCGGAATAAAGCCCTATTCCGGAGGATCTCTTATTCCTACTTGCAAGGATCTCTTATTCCTTGCAAGTAGGAATAAGAGATCCTCCGGAATAGGGCTTTATTCCGGAGGATCGCTCCAGTCTGGACGCTCTTTTCCGGCTTTTCCCCAAGCCGGAAAAAAGCGGCGGCCATGTTTATTTAAATCCCGCGGGGGATATTTAAATCCCCCGCGCATTTCCCTATTCTG